TGCCTGCTCAGAACCTACGGTAATTATTATCCCAGCATTTGTCCCCTTCCATAGTTAAAACCATGCTCAAGGCAGCTCCCAACATGAAAAGATTTACATAATTACAAACGTAGTCATAAACAATAAATAAAACACATCAACCAAACTGGACAATTTCCACATAAACCATAATAAAACCTAAAAATGAAGATACAAAAAAAAATCACTAAAAGAAAGAAAGAAAGAAACAAAACTACAGCAACCCCCCTCAACAAACTCTCAGCCCAGGAGTCTGTTCAGAAGCCACAGCTTTTGTAGCTGGAGTCAGTCCAGGCCCCACCCTCCCAGGCCAGGTGGGAAAAGTCCAGCAAGGCAGAGAGTGGGCCTTCTAGGACTCACATCCAAGATAGTCACAGAAACTGTATTTCCTTCACAATAGCAAACACTGGGTGGTATTCAACTATGTTTTCCCTGGAGTAGCCCTCATCAAATCAATGGAATTAACTTTCTGCTCATTATCTAGTGTTTTTGTTGCTATTGAACACTGCAATTTACAGAAGACTGACCTAGCTCACCATCAGGGGCAGGGACCTCGTCCTCTTATTCTCTCAAGCATCATGGATGCTGACAGTCCCAGCTGGCTTATTATTTCATACACACAGCCAGCCAAGTGATATAAAAGTTTGGCCAGATATGCCAAGGAGTTCAGCATCTCTTCCACACCAACACTGAGAGAGAGAGATAAATAACTGTAAATCCAGCACCCAGGCAACTTTGCCATCACTATTCAGTTTGACCATGTGGCTGCGTGGGACTTAAGAATCACACACTCAGGATCTGGAATTAGCAGCACACCCCTCACTTTGGACCCCCTTTTTCTGTGCAACAAGCAAAGCATTAAAATATTCTGACTGAGGTTTGTGGGTCCCACTTTTCAGGTACATTGCTTTGACTCAGCTGCTATATTTCGCGTGTTGTGTGTGGTCTGCAGATTCTTTCTTATTCGGAATCGCTTAGCAAACAATGTGATTATAAGTTGGGAGATGGGCCTCCATGATCTCTCTAGCTACACCCAAACCATACTACTGGAGTGAAAGAAGGTCCCACTGACTTGATCATAACCCAGGAATTGTGCTAGAACACCAGAGCTTGCCCCCCCCCCCGGATAACCCCACATAAGCCAAACCTGGCATGCACCTTCCTCCTTTCAGAGATAACCTTGCTCAATTCCAGCGTAACTCAAAGCATGTAGATGCCATTACAAACTCACATCAGGAGCGGGTGGTAAGAATATCAAAACACACAGAGCATACGATTAACTCAAGCTGCACCAGAAAAATATCCAGGCAGTCTTAAGTATTGAGAAGTTAGCTTATATCCTGCACCATCATCAGTGGAGGTGACAGAATACCAATACAGTGGTACCTCGGGTTACATACGCTTCAGGTTACAGACTCCGCTAACCCAGAAATAGTACCTCGGGTTAAGAACTTTGCTTCAGGATGAGAACAGAAATCGTGCGGTGGCAGCGGGAGGCCCCATTAGCTAAAGTGGTGCTTCAGGTTAAGAACAGTTTCAGGTTAAGAACAGACCTCCAGAGCAAATTAAGTACTTAACCCAAGGTACCACTGTATAACCAATTTGACTACAAGACACAGTTGCATATGCACCAATCATCCAGCCCCATCCAGCCCCATAGTGTGGCTTTCCAGGTACTTTTAAAGACTCCTATTTACCTGGTTCCAGGTAAGCAACCAAACAAAGGAGGTTTGCGACTTCCCTGGGGAGGCACCACAGTCAGCTTCATGAGTCGAGACAATGCGTGGAAAGGATCTGGTAGCTGTTGTTGCTACAGCATGCAGAAAATAGCTTGCATGGCAGCTGAACCCAAAGCAGCGTGTGTTGCAATCAGAAGGCAAGCATTAAACATCTCACACTTCAAAGCCAGGGCAATTTATTTGCATTTCCCCTCTCCCTTCCCCTCCCCCAACTGGGGCTTGGCATTGCTAATTAAGCTAAATCTTCAAGGCCAAAGATCTTCAAGAGGAGAGTTCAAGTCAGCCTGGATGGGTCAGCCGGTTCCAGGCCTGACAAAAGGGCACCACAGAAGGGACAATACTTAACTGCGGCTGAGCTTTGAAACACACACACAAGCCATTATTCGGTGGACATTAGAATCAGTCTTAGAAACTCTCTCTCTCTCTCTCTCTCTCTCTCTATATATATATAAGCTAGGCACCAAATGGGATGCAGGTGGTGCTGTGGGTTAAACCACAGAGCCTAGGACTTGCTGATCAGAAGGTTGGCGGTTCGCATCCCCGCGACGGGGTGAGCTCCCGTTGCTCGGTCCCTGCTCCTGCCAACATAGCAGTTCAAAAGCACGTCAAAATGCAAGTAGATAAATAGGTACCACTCCGGCGGGAAGGTAAACGGCATTTCCGTGCGCTGCTCTGGTTCGCCAGAAGCAGCTTAGTCATGCTGGTCACATGACCCGGAAGCTGTACGCAGGCTCCCTCGGCCAATAAAGCGAGATGAGCGCCGCAACCCCAGAGTCGGCCACGACTGGACCTAATGGTCAGGGGTCCCTTTACCTTTTACTAGGCACCAAATGGCTCCTGAAATCCAGGTTACAGATGCCAAAACAGAATACTTCGTTTCCATTTGGGGGCCAGACAGCGCAAATGTCGAATTTTTCCATACGACTTTTTGTTTCCGAAATTCATTCTGATTGTGCAGATAAAATATCATGGCTAGAATTCTACAGGGTATGTTGCTAGTGTGTGAACACAATCAACATCCAAAGATCCCCAGGCCTGCAGCTCCAGATGGTGGATTTATCAGGTACCATCCCAGCACCCAGGCATCTTCACTTGGTCTCAAATGGCTGAGAGCCAGGTAAGAAATGCACCTGGTGCCTGGAAAATTTGGAATGCTGATTAGAATGGTCTGGAGCAGGGGTCAGCAAACTCTTTCAGCAGGGGGCCAGTCCCCTGTCCCTCAGACCTTGTGGGGGGCTGGAATATATTTTGAAGAAGAAGAAAATGAATGAATTCCTATGCCCCACAAATAAACCGGAGATGCATTTTAAATAAAAGCACACATTCTACTCATGTAAAAACACGCTGATTCCCCAACCATCCGCAGGCCAGATTTAGAAGGCGATTGGGCCAGATCCAGCCCCCAGGCCTTAGGTTGCCTACCCATGGTCTGGAGAGATAAAAACATCTCCAGGCATGGCCTTCAGAGTCGTCTAAGCAGTAACCATATAACAGGGATAAGGCAAACATAGGAACCTGCCTTCTCTTGTGGATGAAAATGGTATTCTTCAACCTTGAGTTGCCAGATGTTGCAGGACTGAAACTCTCACCTTTCCCTGTTCATGGGCTAAACTGCCTGGGGATGATGGGAATTTCAGTCCAACACCATGTGGGGACTCACCCGCTATGGACACATTGTTCCCAGATGGTTTTCCATGAGTAAATGTAGCCTTCAGGCTGAGAAACATCCCTCATCCCTGTTCTCTGGCTAAGAAATGCTAACCAGTGAGCAAACTAGTCAAAGCGACTTTCTTAAAGCTGCATGGGGGAAATGGGGAGACAAGAGCCACCAAGGTTTTTAAACAGTTAATAGCATAAAACAGGTGCTGGCAAACACAATGAGACAGCATAATTAAATACCACCTTCCACTCTCAATTGCTCAACCTCCCTTCTCGGAGCTCTTGAGAGAACCACAAGTGACAGCTGCTAATCATGTTATTTAATGCACGGAAGGCAGGTGTTCAGGAATTACAGCGATGTGATCTGGGTACAAACCCAAACCGAAAAGACGAACAAGCATCGCTAGGCACCGTGCTTCGGTCTAAATGCAGGAGTCAGCCTGAAATTAATTCTTATTTAGATTTGACAACCCGGGTTTATTTTTTTTTTAAAAAAAACTTCTTTTTTACCACTTAAACCACAAATTCCCTCTCCCCTTTGCCAAATTTTAACCCCCACTGTAAAGTCGTTGTATGACCATTCCAAGTCCTTGACCTCCACGTTTCTCTTGCATCACCAATATTACCAGGTGCTTTCGCCCAACCTTTCATCAACCGCATTTTCCCTTTCTCTTCGCTCCCCAGCCAGCACCCTCCCTAGCCTGCGGCAGGCTGTTCTCACCAGTTTAAGTTAACATTAATAATTAAACAAAGCAGAGAAAGAGATACCAGCGAAGTAATTGTCCTCTGCTACAATGCAGAATTTCTCCCCCCCACACACACTCACATACACGTCTGTTCAATGTTAGCCTAAAGAAAACAGCTTTAACCATCTTATTTCATACATTTCCATGCACCAGTGATCATGAGCATAAGTTTATTATCCTGCTAAACAACAAAAAAAGAAGACGTGCTATATCAAGGGAACGAACAAATAACGAAGCAATAATAAAAGAAACACAAGGCAAAAAATAGCAACACAGAACGCCAATAGTTCTGCAAATCAGTTTCAGCTAAGTATGTCCACATTAAGATGTGGCCTGTGCCGTGGTTTGCAACCTGCTGGATTTGCTACCCTATTGGGGAAAACTATTTGAAGCCTAATTAGCATGGAATTTGGGGAGAATGCAAACACTGTTTTTTAAAATTTTTATTTCAGTGAGACATAAAGCAAAATGCCATGGCATTTCCTCCATCCATTCATCATAAACAAGTTAATTACTGTGTAACAAATGGGTGCCTGCTGGATTCCCAATGTTTTGGAGGATGTTAAGAGAGCTGAGTCAGGCAAAGAAGATGAACCACAAAGTAGTAGTTAATAGCTTATGGCGTACTTATAATAAAACAATGACTCTGTAAAAGCTTTTGTTGTCAAATTAAGGCTAAGCCATTTCCATTGGAATAACTCAATTACAAAGTAGTCATTATCTGTTTAACTGAATTCCAACCAGGAAGCCTGTGCTTTCCCCCCCTTTCTAATCTAGATGCAATGGAAGGAGGAGTCATGCCAGTCCAGGGACCTGAAGAATGACACACAGCTGAGCACTGGAATGCTGATTCAGTTCCAACACACACACACACACACACACACACACACACACACACGCCAAACAAGAGAACCTCAACAATGAGTCACATCTGCTTTATTATCAGAAGTTCCAAGCATGTGATTTAGCTCTCCTTTCCAGAAGGAGGCACAAGCAATTGTCAAGACAATGGCAAACCATTTAAACGCAGCACATCTTTGAAACTAAAGAAATTGTTCCTACAGTGACGGCCACCGATTTGGATGGCTTAAAATAATAATAATGAAGTTTTCACAATACAATAAAAGGAACAAGCTAATCTGCAGGAAATAAAGAGAAGAAAGAATCAGAAAAAGAAAGCACGAGATCCTCCCTCATAGCTTAACTTCCATCCCCTGTGTAGGAAGATGTGTCCTCCCAGATCTCACCTGGGCTCACCCCTCTTCTCACAGCCTCTCACCCTGTGATATCTGTGGGATATATTATTACTAGAGCAGTCAAGTACAACCTTTTCCTGTTGCCTAGAATGGACACATAGAGGAATGTGGCTCCAGACAGGGAGGACTTCCTGTCATACCTTCTCTGGAGCTTCCTCCTCCTGCTGTGTGTGACCAGGTAGATGGGCATGACCTAGCAGACCAGATAAAAGGGCTGGCCACACAACCATCTTTATCTTTGACTCCTGCTCTCTTATTCTTGGACTCTTGCTCTCCTGGCTCTTAAGCAGTGCATGGCTCAACCTTCACATAGGATGGAGCCCACAAGCAGAAAGTCTGAGATGTAGCCCAGACTTCACTGTAACCACAAGATAAAGCCTGCCTTCGGATTACTGCTGTGAACTGAATGTGAGTAAAACTTTATTCTTACTTTTGAATAAGATTGTGTTGTGTTATTATGTTAAGAGGGAAATAAAGGGGAAACTTACCAGGAACAATCCAGACTGGACAAGTCAGGCTGGATTGCTTAATTAAAGGATTCTAACGAATCATCAGCTTGCTTCCAATAAGTTGCAAAGGGAATGTGCTCTGCTGTTTACTCAGAAGCATGAGTGAGGAGGGGAAATAACAAAACAATATATCCTCCCCTACTTCCTTAACATTCCCACAATATCTCCCCTTAAGCCACCTCTCACATGAAATCCAAACTGTCTGTCCCCTGCACCTGTATACAATTCTTACAATTTGGATGGGTTTTAGAAGACAATTGGACAACTTCATTTGGGATGGGGTTATCAATGGCTACTAAGCCTGATGGATATCGTTCTAGAGTTTGGATTTGGATTTGATATCCCGCTTTATCATTACCCTAAGGAGTCTCAAAGTGGCTAACAATCTCCTTTCCCTTCTGCCCCCACAACAAACACTCTGTGAGGTGAGTGGGGCTGAGAGACTTCAGAGAAGTGTGACTAGTCCAAGGTCACCCAGCAGCTGCATGTGGAGGAGCAGAGACGTGAACCCAGTTCACCAGATTACAAGTCCACCGCTCTTAACCACTACACCACACTGGCTCTCACCTTTGGTGTGTGTTGCAGTATGCCTCTGAACACCAATTCCTGGAAAACGCAGGAGGGCAGAATGCTCTTGTGCTCAAATCCTGCTTCCTGGCTTCCATGAGAAGAGGATGTTGGGCTACTGCATTGTTAGAAACTCAAGATATATTAGCTAGACACCAAATGGCACCTTGAATCTAGGTTGTGGTCACCACAACGGAATGTCTATTCACCTGGGGGTTGGACTAAATGTCCCTCAGGATTCCTTCCAATGCTCCAATTCTATGGTTCTGTGATCTCAACTACATTGCATGACTGTAGCTTGCTCTTACAACAATTCACTTGTCCCAGTATGCAAGGAGGAGAAAAACACAGTAGAATTGGAAATGGAATTAACCATGGAGTAAAGCAGAAGTTTTTAACCTGGGGTCACCAACCTGGCGCCCAGAAATCTCCATGTAGTCACACTTGGACCAGTAGCTAATTTTGAACACCAATTATTCTCATGTTCTTAAATACGCACACCAGTTCAGTTTGTGTGTTTTTATTGGGCCAAAGTGAAGTATTCCTCTCATTGTCTTAACAGCTCAGCACATCAGAACACAACTTCCTCCTTGCTGCGCTGATGGTGGCAACGAGACAAGTGCCTACTGCAATTGCATTTCTTCATTCTACATCTTTCCTTGGGGTTCTAAAGCAAGGGTAGCTAACATGTGTCCATCCGTATGTTGCTGGACTACAGCTTGGCTGGGGGTTATGGGAGCTCGAGTCCAACAACAGATGGAGGGCTAAAAGGTTAGCCACCCAGGATCCAACAGAGCTACCTTCCTTCCATTGAGTTATCCCAATCTTTTCAGCCCAAGCTAAATATCAGAGGTCATGCAGCCATTACACTCCCCTCAGAGACTGGCATCCCAGTGTTATGTTTTCTAACCCCTTCAGGCAGATCATTAAATAGAATTCACATGCAAAGAACCTGCTCATCACACAGCGAGGTCCTCCATCCCTGCCCCTCCTTATCTATGAAGTCAGCACAATTTCTGCAGAGAGTTCCACTAAGTGGTGCGGGCAGGGAGCTGGGAGGTATTGACAGCCACCTACTGGGAAGCAGTATGCCTCTAAATACCAGTTGTTAGTAATTGTAGGTGGGAAGAGTGCTAGTGTGCTCAATAGCCTGTTTGCAGCCTTCCCAGGGACATCTGGTTGGCCACTGTGAGAACAGAGCACTGGTGTAGATGAGCCTTTGGCCTCATCCAGCATCACTTATGCCCTCAGGAGGAGGATGAAAAAGCAGCCAAAAAGGGCACTTATTCCCGTAGCAACTACCAGCAGCTGAAGCATCTGTCCTAATTTTGATCTCAAGGGATAACTTCAAATTTACCCTTAAAACACTGATACCCATGTAGTTCCTTTGTGGACTCAGCGCCATGCCTGCGTAGGAATATAAGAAACTGTCTTCTAAGCACTCTAACTGCCAGCAGCATTCCAGAATCTCAGGTTATATCACCTGATAGCTGGTCCTTCTAAACTGGAGATGACCGCAGTTGAGCCTTGAACCTACTCCATGCAAGGCCAACGCACTGACACTGAGCTCTGTTCCTTTCCCCACACAAAAATACTTGTGGTCATGTTTCTGGTAGTAAACTTGCAGTTCACAGTACCACCAGAGGAGTGGGGACATTTCAAATATGCGAGCTTTGTGCGAAATTCCAAGTCAGGGGCAACAAATAACCATACTACTTGAAAAGTCTATCTAGACCCTTTGGGTCATGTACACAAAAAGGATATTGAGCAACAAGCATGCAGAAGTACCAATTGATAAAAACACATACAAAACCTGTTTGGAGACCCAGAGCTTTTTAGCCTAAGAACAAAAGCACTGCCATATTGAATCACAGTGGTCATCCTGTTTCCATGAGTGACTAGTCTTCTGATACCAGAAACCCAGAAAAAGCTCTGGTTGGTCTTATGTTTAAAAGAAACAAGGCAAACTTCAAACCGACACTGGCTTACTTCACAAAACCATGGAAAGGTCTAACCAGGTACAGACCATAGTTTAGTTGAAATGCAGGCAAAACTTTCTGATCGTCACCTCGCAGCCACATAGGAAAAACAGAGGGAATGTCACACGGATGGAAAGAAAGAGAAATGCATTTATACGAAGTGTCAGGAAATAAAATGAAATGTAAAGGTAAAGGTAAAGGGACCCCTGACCATTAGGTCCAGTCGCGACCGAGTCTGGGGTTGCAGCGCCCATCTCGCTCTATGGGCTGAGGGAGCTGGCGTTCGTCCGCAGACAGCTTCCAGGTCATGTGGCCAGCATGGCTAAGCTGCTTCTGGTGAACCAGAGGAGCGCATGGAAACGCCGTTTACCTTCCCACCGGAGCAGTTCCTATTTATCTACTTGCACTTTGATGTGCTTTCGAACTGCTAGATTGGCAGGAGCTGGGACCGAGCAACAGGAGCTCACCCCGTCACAGGGATTCGAACCGCCGACCTTCTGATCGGCAAGTCCTAGGCTCTGTGGTTTAACCCACAGCGCCACCTGCGTCCCCTAAAATGAAATGTATCCTTGGATAATTAACTCAATTCATAAGCAAGGAAGAGAATGTGTATGTGGGGGGAGAGTATTTTTAAAGTAACAGATTTATCCCAGTTGTTATACAAATTAGAGATATTTGTTTCACAATGATAAACAGCAACATGTATTTCAGCATACGAATTCCAAAAGGTGCAAAACAGATTTCTCGACTATTGGCAAGCAAAATAATTACTTTTTTAAGATAGATCACAAGGAGTTCCATTGATAAAATTGCTACTCGCTTCCCAGTAGCAGAATATGTTCCATAAGCATACAATGAGGAGAGTCCAGTCAGAGTTCTCCAAGGTCAAGACCTTTTGAAATGAATGGGACTACCTGGCAAGGGCATAGTAACCACTCTTCAGTGGAGCTTGTTACTGGCTGCTGCAGCGACATTTCGACATCACTTTAAGCTTCAGCCAGCAACAGAGTCGTTCTGAAGGAAAGGCCAAAAGAAGCATGGATCTCAAATGCATCAGATCCAAGCACTGCGTTTGTAGCTGAAAGCTTCAAATATGACCACCAGGATTTTCACGAAGTGCGAGAATTCATACTATGGAGAACAAGGACAGCCCATATTATCAAACTGCTTTGAATGTGTACGTGCACCAAGAAACTCTGGACTCTTGAGAAATTTCCTTCTGCTATCTAGTCTTATGTTAGCTTATTGGCAAGTTGTTCTTTTCTTTTTCTTGGCCATCCTCTGTAGAAGAGCTGGCTCTTTCACAGCTCAAGCTAATTTTAATGGGACTTGCCTGGGTATCTTCCCACTGGATTGTGTCCATTCTCATTATTGCACCATTTATTATATTATGCTCAGATATATTGCTCATCTTGCTCTGGTTCATTCCCCCCCCCCCTTGCATGTGCAGTACGACATTTGTGTTGCAGATCTTGAGATTCTTCCTAGTCAATATAAGTGACGCCACTTAGAATCATCAAATTGTAGATATATCATTATATATCCTATTCAATATAAGGGGGACTTCCAGTTCTCTGCTGCATCACCATCTCCCCCAAAAAAGTTGTGTGTGGGTTTTTTTTCTGGTTGGCTTCTGCTTTTGAAGGTATTAGGTGCTTCTGCAAACCTCAGGGTTCCTGCAAGCAGGACAATACTTTCTGTTGGTATCTCAATGGCTCCACTCTGGATGCAAACCTGGTGACCTGCACAACCTCAGCTTGCTATCCAAAGTGATAGTAATCTGCTTATTCGCCATTTATCAAGGCTCATGTGTAAGCTCTGGCTTAGCTTTGAAATGCTAGAAAATATCCAAAAGGAAGAAACTCAGTCGAGACCACAAGGTGTGGCATGTCCATAGGATGCTTCAACCAGTTGTTGAAATCAAGAGGCATAGGGCATGACACATCTGTGTCCTGACTGGGCTACTGGACCACTTTGCCTTTGAACAGAGGAAGATTCTCTAACAAAACCATGCTATGTCTTAAGGACAACTGGCAACTGCTTGCTTCTAGTGTCACAAAACACCTTCTCTGAAATCAGGCTACAAGAGAGCTGGAGCAGTTAAGTGGCACAACAGTGTTTGAAAAACATCCTGAAGGATGCCTACAAAGACCCTCTCTGCTTGCTTTTGCTTAGGCACAAAGTTAAAGCATGTTTTCCAATGTTTGCTTGTTTTTCAAAAAAAGATGCTAGTTTTTTGTTTGTTTGTTTTGCTTGCTTGCTTGGTTGTTTGAAGTATTTCAATGATTTTTGGTTTCTTCTTTGGGGTGCCAGCAAGAAGATTTTTTTGTAATAAATAGCTACCTTGCCCTCTGCCAAAATAAAAAAAATCCCCTTTAAAAATAAATCTCCCCAGAAACCACTTCTCTTGATATGAATTCAGACAGAAATCACTGGAACTTTTCATTGGCTGAATGAAATTTGAATACATTTAACATATTCCACTAAAGCATCCTGGGGCAAAAACTCAGAGTGGGAAATGCCCATGAAAGTAAAAGCCCTGCCCAGTAATATCATAGAGACATGCACAAGATCCTCAGCATCTGATGAAGTAAGTTCATGAAAGTTTAGGATACCACAAGAGGGTCAAATTTGTGGCAGCAGACTAGCAGACTGCTCTGGAAACAGACCCTCTGAAGGCTCATAATCTACTCCCTGCATCAACTCAAGGGAGTTTCAACATGATCAGGAGAAACAATCATTGATGGAAATTGCTCATTCACAGGAAGTGCTCAAATGGCTTATTGTGATATAATTTTCTATTTATTTAAAGATCACAATCAGCTGATGTTATAATTACATGGCAGCTTCTCTGCAGCCTCAGCTGGCACTGCCTTTGAACTGCCTTCCCCAGACCTTCTGTTCCATCTCTATTGTCCAGCCAGCAACAACACAACACAATGCATCAAACACCCAATTGTCATAAATCCCCTTCCAAAAGAACAGGCCAATTACATTGTCTGCAAAGATGAAGAGGCAAGATAAACATTAGGAAAAACACTGTCAGTCAGAGAAAGATAGCAAAACAAGGGGAAGAAGCAGCCTGGGAGCAAATGCATACAAACCATGATGATCCCATTGGATCAGGGATACAATGTTAACTCAAAGCATGTCTGAAGCCACTTGTCTGGTTACCTGCTGCAAAGAAGGCCCACTTCACCTGAACTGAGCAAGGAATACTTTACGATTTGGAAGATTTAGCTCAATGGAGTAGCAGGTGCTTTGCATACAGACAGACCCAAATCCAGACTAGTCTCCATTTAAAGAGAGCAGAATAAGACCCCTGCCTGAGAGTGGGCTAGATCAGGGATGGAGAACCTGTGGCTATCTAGATATTTGACCTAGAACTCCCTTCGTCAATGGCTATGCTGTCTAGGGCTGAGGGCGGATCGAATCTACCAACTTCCGGTGGGCTACAAAATCCTTATTCCTGAGCTAGAGAGGCTAATCATCTAAGCCTGCAGTCCCCATCTCACTTTAGAATTATAGAATTGTGGAGTTGGAAGAGACCAAGGGGGTCATCTAGTCCAATTCCCTGCAATGCAGGAATCTTTTGCTCAAGGTGGGGCTCGAACCGTTAACCCTGAGATCAAAAGTCTCCTGCTCTACCAACTGAGCTATCTCCTGGAAGTAAGCCCCACTGAATCCAATTGGACACTTAAGCAGACATGGTTAAAACCATAGCCTAAGTCAGTATAGGACAGCTTCATGTGTTACTCCCTCCCCACACAACCTTCATGTTGTCAGTCAGTCAATGATCAACCTGCAGGCAGGTGGTGGACGACTGGAAGAAGAAGAGAAGAAGAAGAGTTTGGATTTGATATCCCGCTTTATCACTACCCGAAGGAGTCTCAAAGCTCCCTTCCTCCCCCACAACAAACACTCTGAGGTGAGTGGGGCTGAGAGACTTCAAAGAAGTGTGACTGGCCCAAGGTCACCCAGCAGCTGCATGTGGAGGAGCGGGGAAGCGAACCCGGTTCACCAGATTACGAGTCTACTGCTCTTAACCACTACACCACACTGGAATAGCCACCAGGCCAACTGAGAAGCTCCCTTCTGCTGCTGCCTCTCATCGTACAAACCCAGCATTAATTCATCCTCCGGAGCGCTTGGATCGAGTCAGTTAAATCCGAAACAGCTCAAACTTTGTTCATTAATTCCAAGTTCAGAGAGGGGAACAAATTAAAATGGACTTCTGAACGTAAGGCAAAGGCACAAAACGGATTGAAAGCCCAGGGTGTAATAAAAGGGTTATAACACTGAAGTGGCAAAGGTGCACACTCAGCTGCAAATTATGGTCAAGCAATAAAGAAGTTCAGAACTCATATACCTTTCTAAAGGAGTCAGCAGCAGATGCATTGCGCAGCCAACATCTGCTGTATTCTTGGAGGAAGGCCCATATTCCTCTCCCACTTCACCTCCAGCCTGAGGAAATGAAGCCTTTGACAGCCCGAGGCCTTCCTCCATTCCTTTCTGAGCTCCCAGTAGGGTTATAATCCAACACTTGAGGACATACTGAGCTTTAGACTGCTTATTGTCCACATAACCGGCAAAACACTGACTCGTCCCTTTCTGCCAGTGTCAAGTCACACAGGAATTGTGTGGATTGGGGGGACACTTCTGGCAAAAATGGTTGTCCATTCGTGTGGCCCTCCCTTGCTCTCCAGCCAACTTCGCTTGCCCTCAGTGGCATCAGATTTGATTGGCTATGCAGCTATGCATCATCGTGACATCATTCCATCCCAGGAATGGTACCCGACTAGTCAGGAAGCAGGAGAAAAAGAGTAGCCAGGAGACAAAGAATTGGGGAGGGTGCAGCAGCAGCTAGATACTAGCTACTCAAGGAAACAATGGATCAAGAAGGTTTCAGCAACGCACCATCTCCCAAGCCTAGCCAACCTCATAGGGGGTTGTAAAATGAGAAGAGAGGGAACCATGTGTGTCACTTTAAACCCCTTGGAGGAAATGCGGAATCACAGCTGTCAACTTTTCCCTTTTCTTGCGAGGAATCCTATTCGGAATAAGGGAATTTCCCTTTTAGAAAGGGAAACAGCTATATGTGGGATATAAATGTAAAAATAGTCAAAATTAAGTGGTGGCAGGATATTTGGGGAGCGGGCAATACCCCAAAATAATCAACTCAGTATTAACTGCTACATTTAATAATTAAAGCGGTAGAAATTAAAAAAAAAAGGAAAGTATTTTGCAATGTATAGCTGCACTTGTTAGCATACTGCATCTCAGTAATCCTAGCCTGGAGAAACTTCCAGGTCCCTAGCCAGGTCCTTAAATAAAATTGCACATACCTAAGATTTTGAGCTGTTTTCTCAGGTTCACATAGGATGTTTCCTCACGATATTATTTATATTTCTCAGAATATAATTACTCCTCTGAGATAGGATTTTAAAAAAATGACTCATGACTTAGCAGACAGTCCTCTTACAATACAGCCATGCCAGTTTCTAGAGCAAGACACACACACACACACACACACACACACACACACACACACACAGCAATGCATGTAACACTGTACAACCATAATCAGTCTCCTCTTTCTGGGCAGGAAAGACAGGAGGAATGAAATCTTTGCAGAAAATAAAAGGGTTTGGAAGCAGAAAGAAACCATTCAGGGCAACGTTCTTGGGTTTCAGTGTGCCATTTTGCTGTCTCATTACAACAGACCCTCAAGGAAACAAAAACAGCCCATCGCAAATTGAGCTTCGTTGGCCTCCTTTGCTAAAGTGTTTGCCATCTCTTGCTTACTCCAAAACTCACTTCTCTTCCTTCAGCAACATCTCCCTGCCATATCAGATTGGCACTGCAGAAGCGGCAGCGTGACATCCACAGCGCCTATTAGCAATTAGGAAGTGAAGTACAGAGAAGTGTTCCAGTTTGGCTTTTAAGATTCTCACAGGACTAAACTAAAGGCTACATTTCCTGTGCCACACAAATAGGAAAGTTTAATTATTGTAATAACTTTAAAAGGCAGAGGCAGGGGAAGGGGACAAAAAGGAAAAGGAACAATGCTCACAAATAAGCTATTTTCCTTCGGATTATGAAGCTGTTTTAAGAGTTTCTCGTCACACACACACACACACTCCAGTTGTAATCCTGCAATTACTGTAAAGCTAATTGGTACTTTCTCACTGGCTGTGTTTTCATGTTGTCAGTGGGACAGTAATGAACATGAATGCCACATTTGAGAACAGAATGTCTGTGGGCTTGTTTACCACATAATCCAACAACAATGTCTGCTTTATCAGGCATTGCAAGCAAAGGATGGTTTAAGGATCTTCACATCTCAAATGCAAGGATGCTCTGTACAGAGGTGTGCACACCCACAATATTTTAAAAAAATATGACACAGGTACAGATACTTCTGCCAACAGCAGGAAGAGGTTAAAAAACAAACCAAAACCATTAAGTAAGGGCTGGTGTGCCACACTACTCTGACATCCTTTCACTCAAGCCACACAATATGCAACAGAAGAATGTGGTCTTCGTCTCACCAATGCACAAGTCCACAATTCACCATTCATTTTGCTGATGAAACATTTGAGTCTGGGGTCCCTGCTTTTCACATCTGTCAGCTGTTTCCTCTCCGGCGGGACAAGTGTTCCTTAACCTATCCCGCTGCATTCCCAGTTTATACTTCCTACCTTTGAGTAACTTCTGCCCTTCCATGATGTTTTGGGAAACCAGCGCTGTGTAATCATCTTCCGAGAAGCCTGGCTTGCAAGTGGGTCTGACTGTAAGATCCCCATTGGGCGCCTGCAGAGTCCAAAACAAGAGCAACAGAACACTGTGAATTGTATTGTTGTTTCTAGTGGGAATCTCCAGGGTTGGGGGGAGGTTTCTCAGCCCGTGCGCAAGTGTCTGCAAACAGGCAAGTCTGAGCAACAGAAACAGCGTTCATCAAGTCTTACACTGATAACATGTTTCAAGCCGGGTGGGGAAAATGAAACACCAGTCAGAAAATAGCAGTAGCCTTTTGCTGAAGAGATGACTGGGGAGGGGGGGGCGAATATTATTCAGCAAGGTTGCTGGGAATGGTGGAGGCTTGAGTGATGCACACAGCAATAAATCTCCCCAGTTGGATTACAGGCACCCTCACATCTCAGATCAATACAAATCAAGCCGTGGCTGGCAAGCCTGAGGACTCGCATGCCAGAAGCAACCCCCCCCCCCAGGTTTAAGAAACCCATCTGATCACCATCTTTGGCCCTAGTCATTGGACAATCGAGATCTGGAGAGTTACTGTTAAAGCTACAGCAGGATGCTGTTAAGTCTGCATATATACCCAGCCTGTACCTCCCTTAACAAATCAATGCAGAACTGCTGAGCAATCACCACCTGGCAGGCAGGCAGAGGGAGAGGGAGGAAGCGAGTGTACACATGCAAGCATCCCTAGCTGGAACGCAAAGCAAAATCCTGAAAGGTTCACAGGGTAACCCAGAGAAACAGAAATACGCACAGTCCCTCTGCCTGTCCCTGACCACCCCCAGCGAGGCAATTTAGGAGCATCACCTAGACACCCTAACCTGCACGCTACATCCATAGCTTATGCCATGTAACTTCCTCCCTTTAGGGACAGAGATTTGTTTCCAGCTGCACACTGGAGCGAATCGTCGTAGAAAAAGGCTAGTTTCAAGCCCAAGCCTTGGAGGGGAGAATCAATTTTCCTTGTGCCTTGGCTTTCCAGATCTATGTGCTCAATCAGACTCCAGCCAACATACAGGCACAGAAGCTGAATGGCTTGTTAGCTGGTGATTTGTAAACAAATTCCTATATAACAAATGAGGTTGGGAAGGTGGTGGTGGTGGGGTGTCACCCCTGTTTTTCTACTACCCCAGGCAAGATTTTTCTAGGGACTCTCCCAAACAGATTAAAGGTACATGCTGATGACAAAACCAAGTGGCCTAAACCCTATAGAGAGTGGGGGGGGGGGAGCAAGCCAGACCAACCCCATGATCACTGGAAAAATTAGGCGCTTTGAGGACTTAATATGTAGCAGAAAGAAGCAGGCTCAGCTGAGGTGGCTTTTTAAATAACGGTGGACTGAAAGAAAGCCACACGGCATGTGGATGAGAGAGGGAGAGAAGGGGCGAAGAGAACAGAGAGTCTGTCTCCTGGCTTGCAGAGGAGCTTACTAAGCAAAAAGTAAGCCAATGTAATATCGGCGAGAAATCACACTTGGGAGAGAAATGCCAGCTACCGTCTCTGGAAAGTGCATGAGAGGGACTCGGCTGTGCACTCCGGCAGTCTCCTGGCAAGATCTACAATTCAGAAGCATTTCAGAGTCTGACAGTAGATAATAGGCTTTGGATTTCCAATCACCCACTTATTACAATGGCCCTAGCAGTGGGGCCACTGCAGCAGAGAGTCGGTGGTAGGGTTACACAGCCAAGCCTTACAAAGCGGCTTTCCCTTGATGGGTTTTTAATTAGGACACTATTCTCTCTCCCCACCCCCAATCAAGTTCTCTCTCCAGGCTTACAAATAAAGTGCCTCAATTTGTCTTGGGAAAGGAGGTCCCAAACAAGAGCCATTATTGGGGTGCCATTTGCCAGGAAGCTCTCCTGTCCAAGCAATGAATGGCACACTGCTGTAGGCAGATTTATGCAGGAGAACTTCCCAACAGATTGTGTCCATTGTCAGTCAGAGCTCCAGTACTGGAAATGTGCTTAATGATAATAAGACTCTAGAGGGCTTTCCATATCAGCCTGGAAAGGAAGAGAAATTGCAATCTGATCAATTTTAACTCAAAAATGGTTTTGAGAATCAGGCTGATTTGGCAGCCGTGGGTGTCCTTCTGAAATCATCTTAAAATTTAGAAAGATACAAAATATAGGAATAATCAAAAAGCAGGAAGGGAGCATGGCACCTAATATCCCGCCCACAAAAAAAGTATTTCAGCATTATGCATCCCTATCCTTTCGTTTTAAAAGGCTTCGTGGCAGACCGCATGGTAAATATTCCCTTAAAATACATACAGCACACCAGGATATTTGGAAGCAAGTTAGAGCTGCCAAACCAGATTCTGAGCTGCGTTAATACACATTTGCAGTCAAGTACAAGTCTGTTATTCCCCTAAAAGCTATTAAAGCAAGTTTCTCTAGGGAATACCTATTTTGGGGGAAAGGGGGGGACTTCCCAATTTTTATGTTATGAGTAGTTTTATCAGGTGCATAGCAGAACTCCCTGCACATATCTGTATTAGCCTCAGCCATGGGTGTGTCTGGTTGAAAGATGCACAATTTCTGCTCTTAAAAAAATACTATTAAAAAGCAACGCGGCAGAGGTGAGGCTCAAGAATCCCACATCCACACAACCACCCTTAAGCCGGTCTCGATTTGCCTGGGTCCTCCGAGTGCTCCAGTTCTCTTTACAGCGTCTGTTGATAAACCGCAACACCCAAGACTTCAGCCACGCCACGTGGGTTAAGCACACGAGGGCAAGATGCGTTCTGAAGTTCTGGGAGGATCCTAACAAAGCAAAGCTTTTTTTAAAAAATAATAACCCATCTCTAATATGCAGATATAATTATATGCTCCTTCCAGCGGTGCTGGCTTTCTTCTTTTTTCCCGTTTGGATCTCATCGCCAGCTAAAAACAACTTGGGATGCTCTATCCGCGCGGTTGTCTACAAGCCCAGGTCTCTATCCCCGGCTACGGCAAAGAGACACATTTCCGCCCGTTAAGTCGCTTTGCATTTAGCAAAACGACCATCCAGCTTTCCCCAGCACTACTGCCGCCGCCCCCCTCCTTTGCTCAATCCTTCCTCCTCCTCCTCCTCCTCTGGATTTTCGTCTGCCAGTTGTCTATGAATTGATAGAGGGGAGAAAGGGAGGGGAGGGGGGCTCAGCGGGGAGACACACACAAGCTAACATTGTTGCACATACTCTGCAAAAAAACAAAAAAACAAAAAAAGGAAAAGGGAGAGCGCTTGGCCGGCGTGGCGGTGGGCTGCGTGTGTATGTAAGTGCTGTACGGTGGAGCTTTTGCAGGAGCTCTTCCTCTGCCCCCCCCCACACACACATACACGAGAAACCTCTATTGCACAAGGCATCTGGAGAAGGGGGGGGGCGCTCAAGCCGCATGCAGAAATAAGGGGACCCCCTTTCCTCAACACACACATACATAAGCGGAGCTATATCCCAGCCATCTCCAAGCGTGCAGTTAATGATGTGCGGAAAGAGAGAGGAATTGCAAGGAAAGCGGTACTCTCGTGGCTCCTTCCAGGCTAGCTTCCAAGCCCCGGAACCCAGCACGGTCCCCTTCCCACCCCGCTCCCCTCCTCCTCCTCGTCGTCTCCCTCCGGCAGCGCCCCATCCCTCTCCAGGCGGGAGATGCTGCTGCTGCTGCAACTTACCCGGGCCGAGCCCCCGCAGCAAAAGAACAAGAGAAGTAGCATCCTCGAGCCCAGGGGCATCTCCGCGGATCCAGAGCCGGGCTCGCCCGCCCGCCTGCCCGGCTAGCTGCTGCCTCCTGCCGCCGCTTCCACCGCGCTCCGCCCGGGCAGGGCAACCCCCAGCGCGCGCCCTGCCTGCTCCGCCCGGCGCTGCCTGGTTATCCCGCGGCGCCTCCGAGCCGCCAACTCTTCGCAGCCGCCGCCGCCGCCGCTGCTTCTTCTCCTCTTCCTCCGCCTGCCTTGCCGCGCTCAATTCCTCGCCGCCGCTCTGAACTGCAGGTGAAGCGCTCTCGGTGCTGCTCGAGCGAGTCCCCGCCTCCAAGCCCGGCCCATACGGCGCGGAGGGGCAGGCGGGCGCCCTTAAAGGAGCAGCCGCGGCGGCAGCAGCAGCAGCCAGAAGGGGAGCGCGCGCGCTTGCCGGCTGGCCAGCCCAGCGCGCACACACACAAAAAGGCTCGGGAGGGAATCCTGCGCTCTCCGGGACGGGCTTACTCGGGAGTCAGCAGAGGTTGGGTGCTGATTCCCAGGATCCGCTTAGTAAGGACTTGCCCCAGCTCCAACTCTGCCGCTGGCGCAGGCAGAAGGAAGTTCCGCGGGTCTTACTCCCGAGGAAGCGCCTGCGGGGTTGCAAGGGGCATCATCCGAAGGCGGGCTTCCTCGAGGCTCTTGCACGGTTGTGTTTTTGCCGACGATCGGGCCCCGCGGCTGCAAAGAGGTTTACTCGGAAGTAGGGCCCGCGGAGTTCAGGCAGGGCTTGCTCCGAAGTAAGCGTGCGCTGCATTAATCGAGCTCGGAGCCCGTTAAGCAGTACTGGGTTGCTTTACCCAGCGATAGTTCGGCCTGCATTTGTCTCCTAAAGGGAGGTGCGCAAATGGGACCTTGAGGCTGCTGCTATCCTGTGCGCGCGAGTGGTGCCCGTTGAATTCAATGGCACTTGCTTCTGAGTAGACATATACAGGCGGGAAATGTAAGCTGCAGTGCTTTGCACACCTGCTTGGAAGTGGTGCCCCTTCAAACCAATGACCATTGTGATTGCACATCTGTAGGGTTGTGCTGTGGTTTGGTTTTCTTTTTAAAATAAAAAAAAAATACAACCCTTTGCACACTTGCTTGAAAAGGAGCCCATTGAAGTAAACATGGATAAGACCAGGTTGCATGAAAATTTAATAGACTGGATGTATTATGCATGTTTACTCAGAAGACAGCCTCTCTCTGAGTTTGGTGGAATTTACTCCCAAGTAAGTTTTACACCCAAACTGAACTAACTCTCTCTCTCTCTCTCTATATATATATATTGGGGTGGTATTTTTAGGGCCCCAGAAAAGCAAAATAAATGCTTTTATGATCTTATAGATATTAGTAGGTTTTAATGATTTTATTGTACACAACAATAACTTATATTTTTTGAGTTGGTGGTTTTTAAAATATTCTTCTAAATAAAATAAACTAGGCTAGATATTTTATTGGCTAAATGATTATAGGATTGTACTCCAACCCAAAACAAGTTTACTGAGAGGTAATATCCCTTCAAGTTCTTCTTTTTACCTCTTGTAAGAATGAAAAGAAAAGTGTCTTGCCTGGGATTGAATCCTGCTTAAGGCTGCAAGCCTAGCCATGCCTATTGAATTCTACTGAATTCACTGGAGACTTGAGTATGGTCTGCAGGCTTAGTCATGGTCAACCTAGTAGAGTAATAGATTTAAGTATATGTTTTGTTTGGACTTTCCTTTGCCTTTTAGACCAGGCTTACTCAACCTTGGTCCTCCAAATGTTTTTGACCTACAACTCCCATGATCCCTAGCTAGCAGGACCAGTGGTCAGGGATGATGGGAATTGTAGTTTCAAACATCCAGAGGGCAAGGTTGAGGAAGCCTGTTTTAGACTTTAATACAGCAAATCTAGCTTCCCTGCCCACCCTGCACCCCCCCAACTCAGGGTAGCTACATGGAAAGGGGGACTCCTGTACCTTTAATAGTTGTTTGGCAGAGGGGTATTATTTTCAGCAGGTGAAGCTTATATGACAAGCCACAGCTGCTGACATTTCTTCTTCTGCACAACTATTAAAAGTCATACAAGCTACAACTATGGACGCGGGTGGCACTGTGGGTTAAACCACAGAGCCTAGGACTTGCCGATCAGAAGGTCGGCGGTTCGAATCCCCATGACGGGGTGAGCTCCTGTTGCTCGGTCCCAGCTTCGAAAGCACGTCAAAGTGCAAGTAGATAAATAGGTACCGCTCCAGTGGGAAGGTAAACGGCATTTCCGTGCACTGCTCTGGTTCACCAGAAGTGGCTTAGTCATGCTGGCTACATCACCCGGAAGCTGTACGCCAGCTCCCTCGGCCAATAAAGCGAGATGAGCGCCGCAACCCCAGAGTCGTCCACGACTGGACCTAATGGTCAGGGGTCCCTTTACCCTTTAAGCTACACCTGCTGAAATTCCTTCTTGGTTAATAAAAGTCGTGTATGTTGCACCTTTGGAATCCCTTCTTGTACTGTATTCCTAAAGGCGCAAAAGCCCTGCCCTCTTTGGCATCTGGTTATCCTACCCACAAGCCTCTTGGCTCAGGCCCTGTAGATCCTCATGCAACAGTTAAGATGGACAAAAATCCAATGGCACAAAACATATGAGGAAAAATACACCAATTAAAAAAATTAAAAACCAGCACTATTTCTTTCCCAGGTATGGCTTGTTGCATCTCTAATTCGTTACTCAGAAATGTTAAATTTGGAGCGTGGAAGCTCCTGCCGGTACAATGGGCCAATTGGCACATGCCAGCTCATTGCAGTCTTAAACAATACTCCACCTGTGGGAAACTGCAGCTATGAATCAAAACACCCCAGGCAGCACCATCGTACAGAATGTTTTTATTTCCCCCAAGTGGCAACAGCTTAAATGCATGACATGGAAGAGAGTACACATGTGGCAGGTTCAGCAGCATCTTCGTGGCAACATGGACGCATGATGATGTCGCGAAGCTTTGCAACATGCAGAACGTGCAATTTTGGGCTTGCTGGATATTTCAGGGACAGTTATTAGTGTACCTAAAGGGGCACTGCCTTTGGAGTATAGTAACAGCCTTAGCCTAGGGCTAATTCATCTGTGAACATGGACGCAAGTGACATCTCATTATTTGGATAGTCAACATAGCCTCATGGGAAGGGACACTGGTAGTGGCAAAGGGTCACAGCTTCAATCTCTGGCATCTCCATTTAAAATATATCAGATCATAGAGTTGGAAGGGACCCTGAAGATCCTCTAGCTCAGCCCTTCTCAACCTGTGGGTCCCCAGATGTTGTTGAACTACAACTCCCATCACCCCTAGCTAGCAAGGCCAGAGCTCAGGGATGATGTGAGTTGTAGTCCAACAACATCTGGGGACCCACAGGTTGAGAACCGCTGCAACCCCCTGCAATTCAGGACTATGCAGCTGTCCAGGGCCATCTTTACCCAGGGGTACAAGGGATGTGGAGCACCAGGGCGCTGAATTCTGGGGGGTGCCAGGCACCTGCCAATGAAGCTGCCTAGCTATCTACCTGTTATGAAATAATAAATAGTTTTGAACAAGCTAGGAAAACAAAATACATATATACCTAGGTATTGCCGAAATGTATGTCCACTGTTTCACTAAACGACTTTCAAATTTGTGCGCTCATTTACCAAAGACGTGCCATGCCAGCAGCGGCACTTGTCATTCACAACGGTGGTGCTTGACTCAACGGCGGCGCTTGACATTCTCAACGGCGCCGTGCACGCAAAATTAACTCTTACATCATAATAAAAGTTAATTTGGGGGCTAAACTATAAATTTGGGGGCGCTGGGCGGATCTTTGCACCCCGGCAGTGCATATGCTAAAGACTGCGCTGCAGCTGTCCCATATGGGGATCAAACCTGCAACCTTGGTGTTTTCAGCACCAGACTCTCACCAACTGAGCTATCCTGAGAGAAAGGGAAGAGTACTCTTGTACTCTGGTCCTGCTTGCAGGTTTCCCATAGGCATCTGGCTGGCCACTATAAAAACAGGATGCTGGAGTAGATGCTGGACCACTGACCTGACCATTCTTGGCTGTCTCTTCGTGCAGACCCAGGTCCTTCCACAGCCATTGCCCTCCATGAACCACCATTGGCAGGACCAGCAGGAAGAGCAGCAAATACGTTTTCTGCTGATGATAATATTTATTCTCCTGTTAATTATTCGGTTTTGGATGTGCATTTTATATTTGACTTCCTTTATTAATGGTTTCTTTTGAAATGTTTAAGATAATTTGTTGTTGTTGTTGTTTGTTGGTAACTTTGCTGTGTTAAATGCGCTTTCTGTGGTTGACCTCCTTTGTAATGTTTCATTTTGAAATCCTTAAGATAATCATATTTTGGTTTCCTGTTAATTATGCTGCTTTGAATGTATACTTTAGATTTGACTTTCTCCCATAATGTTTTGTTCTAAGTTGTTTTATCTGATATTTTATTGTGTCATGAAACCACTTTGAGTTTTTCCCCCTTAAAACTATAAAGCAGTAGAGAGATGGGATGAATAATAATACTAATAATATTAATCCATCAGACTCTTACGTTCTTATGAATGAGTATTGAAGGCATGAGAGAAACACTTTCACCCATGATATTTTCATGATTTCAATGTCCATAGGTCTACCACTAGGCTCATGGAGGAAAAAAAGACAGCTGCTTTTATTGAACACCCTCAGTGCATTGGAGCTGGCATGTCGGAAACAAAAGAGGGGAGAAAGATGCAGGAGCCCAGGTCTCTGCATAAGCCCACATTCATTTGCAGATGCCACCCTGGTTCTCCTAACCCTGGAGTTGAGTTAAAGGTAAAGACCATTTAGGTCCAGTCGTGGCCGACTCTGGGGTTGCGGTGCTCATCTCGCTTTATTGGCCGAGGGAGCCGGCGTACAGCTTCTGGGTCAAGTGGCCAGCATGACTAAGCCGCTTCTGGCGAACCAGAGCAGTGCACGGAAACGTCATTTACCTTTCCGCCGGAGCGGTACCTATTTATCTACTTGCACTTTGATGTGCTTTCAAACTGCTAGGTTGGCAGGAGCAGGGACCGAGCAATGGGAGCTCACCCCGTCGTGGGGATTCGAACCGCCGACCTTCTGATCAGCAAGTCCTAGGCTCTGTGGTTTAACTCACAGCGCCACCCGCGTCCCATTGCAGTTGAGTTAGAGGAGAGCAATTCCTGCAGGGTTCCACAACACTTCCTGGAGCAAAAGCTAGGCAGTTGTGCAGATAATCCTCCCTAGGTCTCATCTCACCACTGCACTGGATATTAGAAAGATATAGTAGCAAGATACCCAGTACTTGCTTTTAGATATAAAACTATTTTATGCCCCCAAACTCTCCCTCTGCCCCCCTTTCCCCTTTTCTTTCTTTTTAGCTGCTATCTTCCCCACCCCCATTCATGCAACCACATTTTACCAACACAAATGGCCAACTCTGAAAATTAAAATAGCAAAGGAGGTGGCAGAAGCTAGGTGAAAGCGCTGGGGTGCTCTCAGCATCAGGTGTTCCTGGAACCTAAGCTTGGTGCCCCTTTAGACCACTCCATCCACTCTCTTTATAACTGAGGTCCTTGAGGAGAGGGGTGGTTTCAGTCAATCGGCCATTTAGGATGCCTCCAGACCATCACTGCTCCCTCTCTCTAGCAAAGTCCACTTTTGTCATGGATTGGTTGGACGCAAACAAACGGTGAGAGGAGCTAATGGGGAAACCTCCAAGGGAAGAAAGCTCAGAGCCGGAGGAATGGTGGTGGGATGGCAGTGAGTAGTCAGAGGCAGATGACTGGGAAGAGGAGGCATTGGATGCTGAAGAGGTAAAAGGCTCAGTGAGCTGGGAGAGTCTGTGGCAGAGACCAGTCCGGAATCTCAGGCAGAAGCTGAAACAGGAGAGTGGGATGACGAAGGTCAAATGGCAGAGATGAGTCAGGCTGGTGAAGAGTCGCTGGGGTCTCCCCCTCCTGCCACACCAAGCTGACTTCCCCTCTGGTCTCCCAGAACCAGGAGAGGTATGAAGTAGCAGGAGCAAAGAGAGACACGCAGGCACAGTCTCTGATTGCTTAGGAAAAAAACTCTGGAGAGGAGGAGACAGGTGGCTGTGGGGAGGGCCTTTAGTCTCGACAACTTTTTTATGGGCAACAAGACCTATTACTGTGCTCAGGCCTGACACTCCTATGCGGACCCTGTTTTGCTAATACAGTGGTACCTTGGGTTACAGACGCTTCAGGTTACAGACTCCACTAACCCAGAAATAGTACCTCAGGTTAAGAACTTTGTTTCAGGAAGAGAACAGAAATCATGCTCCGGCGGCGCGGTGGCAGCAGGAGGCCCCATTAGCTAAAGTGGTGCTTCAGATTAAGAACAGTTTCAGAACAAGAATGGACCTCCGGAACGAATTAAGTACTTCACCCAAGGTACCACTGCACAGTGGTACCTTGGGATGTGAACAGGATCCATTCCAGAGCCCCGTTCGCATTCTGAATGGAATGTAAGATGCGACAGCACATGCACAGGTCATGTATTGCTGCTTCTGCGCATGCGCTTGACATCATTTTGATTATCTGCGCATGCACGAGCGGTGAAACCCGGAAGTAATGCACTCCGTTACTTCCAGGTTGCTGTGGAGCGCAACCCGAAAGCGCTCAACCTGAAGCACATTCAACTTGAGGTATGACTGTAAAGAGTTAACTCCAGCCTTCTCAGTGTGATTTACTGATGGCTCGCTCCTGTCAACTTTTTTAAATGACATTTTGCAGTTAGGGAAGTGAGGAGGAAATGCACTGAAAACTCTACGGTGAATGAATGATCAATGGGGAGCTGTAGAAACACCCCACACCACACAAGTGAATCAGGAAGAATGCTCATTGTCGTGTAACCTCTCCACAAACAAATTCAAACAAATAGGCAATAAAGACGGTCTAATTTTTGCATAAGTAAATTAAAATGAAGGCTCGATATACAAGTCATCTGGAGATACCCCTCACCTAAAACTGTGCCAGGCTTCTCCTTCTGCATTGGGGTTTTTTTTCCTGCCCAGAACACACACGTGCTACACCCACGGGCACAATGAAGAAATATTAATTCAAATATATTGCTGAAGGCACCGTTTAGAAAAAGCTAAGAGGATGTGAAAGCCCTTAAAAATAAATGAACATCATCTGCCCTTCCTAACTCCACAGCCTGAGGCAGCCCACGCTGATTTGGCTCATAGAGAGGCCAGCTCTTTCAGTGTCTCACTGGTGGTAGATTTCTTGCAGCGTGAATGTGTGAACAGCCTGCACGGATGAAAATACTATATATAACAGGGGCAGAGGCGCTTCATTTTTTACTAAAACCCTGAGATCTACCAAAAGCAGTAGTTCAGGAAGGGTGGCAGAGAATTTATTTATTTCTAGTTAATTCATTGCTGCACTAAGTCAATGAAAGGCATTATTACATTTTATCCACCCAGTAACCCTGCGAGGTGGGCTTGATAGAGAGGGAGTGACTGGCCAAGGTCACCCAGTGAGCTTCATGGCTGAGGATTTAAACCCTGGTCTTAATGTTCCAACCACTACAGCACACTGGAATTGAGGAGCAAGGTGCCTCTGAGCACATGCTTAGCTAAGGAATTCTTTTTTAAAAAATACAGTATACCTTGGTTCTCAAACAGCTTAGTTGATGAACAAATCGGCTCCCAAACTCCCAAAACTTGGAAGTAAGTGTTCCGGTTTTCAACGTTTTTCAGAAGCTGAACGTCCGACACAGCTTCCACTTGAGTGCTGCCAATCGGAAGCCACGCCTTGGTTTTTGAACGGTTTCAGGAGTCGAACGGACTTCTGGAACAGATTAAGTTCGAGAACCAAGTTTCCACTGTACCAGAACTGGAGTTTGCAAACAGATTGTTGGTTTTCTCCTAAGTTTGCTAAAGGAGCCCCACCTCTTTTCCATGTTCCAAGCAAGCATAAAGGTAAAGGTAAAGGGACCCCTGACCATTAGGTCCAGTTGTGACTGACTCTGGGGTTGCGGCGCTCATCTCGCTTTATTGGCCAAGGGAGCTGGAGTACAACTTCTGTGTCATCTGGCCACACAACTAAGCCGCTTCTGGCGAACCAGAGCAGCGCACGGAAACGCCGTTTACCTTCCTGCCAGAGCGGTACCTATTTATCTACTTGCACTTTGACGTGCTTTCGAACTGCTAGGTTGGCAGGAGCAGGGACTGAGCAACGGGAGCTCACCCTGTCACGGGGATTCGAACCGCCGACCTTCTGATCGGCAAGTCCTAGGCTCTGTGGTTTAACCCACAGCGCCACCCACGTCCCATTCAAGCAAGCATGAAGGCATGCAAAAAAATAAAAATAAAAATGGGATTGTTAGCCCTCGCAGTTCTAAATGCCCAAAGCAAAAGTTCAATCATTCATCCTCTCCAGATTATCCTCCTTTTGCTGTTCCTGACTGTGGTCTCCCTTCCGCCTCTCTTCCTCCTCTTCTCTTTTCATATTCTCTTTCCTAGAAGTTGTAAATGACGTGTGTTGTAAAAGATGGGCTGGGAAGGACCACAGGGGTAATCTATACCACTGACTGTGTGATGTCTTGGGGAGTTTCTTATTTTGAAGAGTTCGTGGCATTGCATGATTAAAAAAAAAAAAAAATCCCGTAAAATTCCAGATCTTTTTAAAGGTGCCAATTAAACAATTTTGGGAGCAGCCCTCCACGCTGCTCCGCGAGATAATTTAGCGACATCTTATCTCTGCAAAGCAAAGCAGAGCACCGTTGTGTTCACAGAAGTCAGGTTTTCATCTTGGAAATGATTAGGTTAGCCCTTTTTAGTTCTTATTTATGCACCACAGTGTAATGTTCTGTACAAGAAATATGAGAGGGGGGAAAAACTAACATAGCTAGGAGAAAGCACAGCACGAGCTCAAGCTTGGAATAGCTTCCTTAACAAAGCCACTTGCTGACTGCGAGACTCAATCGTTTCTGCTGAATTTGAAATGTTTTGAATAAGGAAGGGGGGGAGAGAGAGCGATGTTAACGCAGGTTTCTGGTAGGTTTTGCTCTGATGGCCTGACTGGAAATGCTTACAGAAGAAGGAGCTGCGATTTAAAAGGAGCAGAGAGAGAGTCCTGATGTAAATTTCCATCAGCTCCTTCCCTTCCACAGATCTGGCAAGGCCCCAGGGTGTCCTTCTTAGCGTTGCTGGATTTCTTAGGTGCAAATGAAGAAGTGGGTCAAGGTTTGGCCCGGCAGCACGAGCAAATGCAAGTGACAGAGTTACTTGCGGCAGCAATTTGGGGGACTGCCAGTCAGTGCAGCTAGTACTGAATTAGATGGAGCCATGGTCTGGGTCAATTTAAGGCAGCTTCCTGTGTGTGGTTGCAATGGAGCATAGAATCATAGAATTTCAGAGTTGGAAGGGATCCTGAGGATCTAGTCCAGGGTTTTCCCATCTTGGGTCTCCAGCTGTTTTTGGACTCCAGTTCCCATCATCCCTGACCACTGGTCCTGCTAGCTAGGGAGGATGGGAGTTGTTGTCCAAAAAAAAATCCACAATGCAGGAATATGCAGCTGGGATCGAACCTGCAACCTTGGCGTTACGAGCACCACCATAGCTGTCAACTTACAGATTTGAAAATAAGGGACCAGCAGTCTCAGAAATAAGGGATCAGCAGCCAAAATAAGGGATTTTCAGAGCACAGGTATGTTCGACTTCTGAGCCCCTCCAAGCCAAAGGCAGAAAGCCCAGCCAGCAGCCAAATGAAGCCTCAAGCAGTGGTTCCCACAGCGCAGCAACCCAGCAAAGGGGATGCAGCAAGGAAAACCACTGTCACCTCTCCGCTGGGAAGCGCTGAGCAAAGGTGAGTCCCCAGGCAATGCGGCCGATTTGATAGGTACAAGGCATGCAAGCTCCACCCCCCAGTCATTCTTAGACTTCTTATTGGGTGAGCAACGCAGCCAAGCAACACAGTTGGAGCCTCCTTCCTCCCTGGCCGGCAGGGAGGGAGGGAGAGGAGCTGCTTCCTTTGAGGGAGGGAAATTTAAGGGACATCATCAATAAGGGACAGCAGCGGGACACAGCGCTGGGATAAAGGACTTTCCCACCAAATAAGGGACGGTTGACAGCTATGAGCACCACACTCTAACCAACTGAGCTATCTGGCATGCTCAGTAGCAGTATCCAAAGTTCCCCATGCCCATTTTTAATCCTGTCAACAACCCTGTGGGGTAGATTAAGCCCAAAGAATGTCCCAAGATGATGACAACGAAGAAATTGGTTCATTACCTGCCCTTCACCCTAAGGTTCTAGGGTGGGTTACAACAATCTGGAATGCAATATTAGAAGCATTTTGAAAACAAATGACCGGTGAGCTTTTATGGATGATCAGGATTTGAACCCAGGTCTCTCTGACCCTAGTGCATCCCATCCAATATTTCTGACAATATTTCTGGACTGGCAGGGTCTTTCTAGGGTTTCAGGCAAGGAGCATGGTCTGCCTGGAGAGATGCCAATGACTGAACTCTGGACCTTCTGCATGTAAAACAGATGCTCTCCCACCAAGCTACTGCCCTTTCCTGATATGTATGTAAAACATGCCTCATCAGCCCTCCTCTAAAACAGGGTTGTCAGTTTTATTACTGAACCTGCTTACATGCCTCTAACAGCAGGCTTCTGCATTGCAATTTAGCAGGCAAAGCTTTTCCAGGCGCAGAGACAAAAGCGCGCTGTTGAATTTCTGTGCACAAGGCTGTGGTTAAAGGGACAAAATCAGGGCCGGTAATAAAGGGGGCAGCACGATTTAAAAAAAAACAAACCAGAGAATTTTGTGCGTCCAGCTTTGTTCCCCTGGTCTGTTCTGCAGTTAACTCAGTCTTATAAATGCTCAGTGTGAAACACGAAAGAAACATGTGCTTATTTGTGAAATGCGGCGGTTCCCCCCCCCCATTTTTTCAGGAAGAATCTTTGAGTTCTTTCAAAGCATAACCGGGGTTCCCAGAAATACATGGGGTACAGCTGCACTAGACCCAAAGCCAGCAAGGGGGCAGACTCTGTGCTTCTATATAAAAATAAAAATCACCCCGCCTAAAGAAAAAGTAAGTCTCCAGCCCTTATGGAACTAAAGATATGATGAAGAAAAAAATGTACAGGCTTCATTCAAACTAACAAGTCTGTGGTTATACACACACACATGCCTGCTATTGATTGATTGATTGATTGATTGATTAATACGCCATCTATTTGTCCAAGGAGCTCAAGGGAGCTTCCCTGCAAAGTAGCCCAGTGTTGCTATACTAATATTGTATCAGTGGGAAAGGGGGAGGTTGACTTTGAGGGAGTAGTGCACATCAACAATATAAAATAAAGGAAATTACAAAGGGGTGTGGTTCCTGATCAAAGCAGCAATTTAGTAGGGGCAAGGTTATTAAATTTTGTCACCACTCATGGGGAAAAGTAGGAGGGTTACTATGGGTGGGCTTTTGCTGTTGGTATAACGGTTAGAGTTCTGGACTCTAACCAGGGAGGCCAGAGTTCAACTCCCCACTCAGCCATGAAGCTCAGAGGCTGGCCACCCTTAGGCCAATTACTCTCTCTCAGCCTAATCTACCTCACAGGGTTGTTGTGCAGATGCAATAAGGGAGAACAACGTACGCCACCTTGGGGAGAAAGGTGGTTTATAAAATGTATTAAATAAGCAAACATTTCAATGGGCATATTCACCATGTCATATGCCTTTTAACAACAGCCAGGCATACAGAAATGTAGCAGCTGACGTTTTTCCTAGCATGGAGATCAAAAGATAGCCAAAAATTTCACTGGCTTTATGCCAGGCTGCTGTTCAAGTAACAACACACACAATGTAACAGGCTGTTTTTAACTATGTAACTTCTATTTCAAACAAAATTCAACATATAATATCTCACAAAGTGTAATTCCATAGACCAACACATCATGCAAACAGAACATATCAAGAGAAATTAAAGTCCAATGGATGGTCAGGAGATAAAGTCCATTTGGTTCCTAAATTGGCATATTGGCAATAACCACAATATGGTATGCTTATGTTTTGATGTTCCACATATCGCTGCTTTGAGGATTCTAATGTTCCTTGTACGTAGATATCAGATCAGATGGAAACTTGAAGGTATGGCACGACAAGGATTCTGGGATAATACCTTGTTTCATCCAACCGGGCTTCGTCAGCCGTGCATACTCTAAATTAAACAAACATGATATAACACAATCCTTATACAAACTAAGTAACATAACATACAAATTAAACAAGAAGTTTACATACCATATTCTCGTATGACGGAAACATGGAACAAAATAAATTCAGTTAATCCAATCACTGGCCAAAGTTCCTTTTTATACAGAGAGGCAGTACAGTGGCACCTCGGGTTACATATAGAATCATAGAATCATAGAATCATAGAGTTGGAAGAGACCACAAGGGCCATTGAGTCCAACCCCCTGCCAAACAGGAAACACCATCAGAGCACTCCTGACATGTGGTTGTCAAGCCTCTGCTTAAAGACCTCCAAAGAAGGAGACTCCACCATACTCCTTGGCAGCAAATTCCACTGTCGAACAGCTCTTACTGTCAGGAAGTTCTTCCTAATGTTTAGGTGGAATCTTCTTTCTTGTAGTTTGGATCCATTGCTCCATGTCCGCTTCTCTGAAGCAGCAGAAAACAACCTTTCTCCCTCCTCTGTGTGACACCCTTTTATATATTTGAACATGGTTCAGGTTACATACACTTCAGGTTACAGACTCCATTAACCCAGAAATAGTACCTCGGATTAAGAACTTTGCTTCAGGATGAGAACAGAAATTGTGCTCTGGCAGCGCGGCAGCAGCAGGAGGCCATATTGGCTAAAGTGGTGTTTCAGGTTAAGAACAGTTTCAGGTTAAGAACGGACCTCCGGAACGAATTAAGTACTTAACCCGAGGTACCACTGTATAGATTCTAACACAGGTGGCTACAATGTCTGTAAATGTTAACGTTTTGCAGGCTGCTGTTCAAAGCATAGGAGCTGAACCAAGGGGCGAACAAAGAGTTCCTATGTTCCAGGAGTGAGGTTTTCAGCCCAAAACCATATTTCCCCATGGACACCCCTTTTGTACCACATAGAATAGGTGAGCAGGCTCAGAATCAAGCAAGAGGCATGATCATAGCTCAAGGAAACATTCCAGCCAGACAAAAACAGTTGAGGAAGGTCAATGATGGCGTATGGCTTGGGGAAAGTCTTGAGAGCCAGATAGGGAGGCCTCGGGGGCCACATTCAGCTTTAGGCTCCTCATTCTTGCTAAATCCAGAATGCTGCAGCATGATTGCTGACAGGGTACCATATAATCATCATTCTGCATTTCATGGGATCATAGAATCGTAGAGTTTGAACCTGAGACCTTCTGCATGCAAAGAATATGCTCCACCACTAAGCTATGATCCTTCCCGCTCTAATTTGTGCCCATGATAGATCCTGAAGGAACCCGAGTATCCCTTGCCACACAATTTGAAAACCACTGACCCAGTGGAAGGATTTAGCAATAATCTCTACTAATGCACCGCCTAAATGCGGCCTTCTGTAATCTTCCCCTGGGGACCCAAACATTTGGATGTGGAGTTGCGAGGGACTTGGTGCAGCTGTTGCGGCTGCCATATGAAATCTAAAGATCTCAGGGGGCAAGGATTTGTGCTTCAGCGTCGCTGTGTTGTTCTTCGTTCCTTAAAAAAAATTGAAGCTGATTTGTGTGAGCCGAGTGTAAGCGAGTATTCTCTTGCAAACACCTATGAATCGTTGACTCTGGCTGGACTACAGCTGTTGCTCAGCGTGAATTCTCTCTCAAATAACTATTAGCATGACAAGTTCTGCCGGTATTGTCAAAATAAGTCTCACACCACGAGATACTGTGAAGAAAAAGGCAGAGCAGGAGAAATAGATTTCTTCAGTGTATTTAAAATAGGCTTCTAATCTGGCGACAAAAGCACCGGAGCTGTTTTTCCCCCACCCACCCTCCGCAGCCAAAGAAACAAGCTTTTTCCATCTTCAGTTTTAGCACATTTGCTACTACCTCCAGACACTTGATAAATATATACATATATTCCTTTCCAAGTTCTTTGTATTTCTTCCAACTTTCTGGAGGGATAAGGATAGTCATGATAGCTTCATGCTCCATCTAGATGTGTTGGGCTTCCAGCCCCAGGCAGAATCAGGAGTGGCCACAGAGGGTGGGACTTGTGATCCACCAACATCTGGAGGTCAGAAGGTTGGTGAAGTAGACATTTCCCCAGGTAAATGTCCATATATGGAAAGCCCCTCAAGAAGGCCACAATATCTCAAGAACCCCCGCTCCACAAATGAACCTACCCAAGTGTCCCTATTTTCCAAAGACAGTCCAAGATTTACAGAAGCCATCCCTGTTTCTGATTTGATCCCGGAATGTCCCCCTTTTCCTTAGGACATCCCTATTTCCATCACAGAAATGTTGGAGGGTATGGAGTTATGCAACCCCTGAGCCAAGGAGATGAGCAACTATACAACCTTCAGAGGACATCTGAAGACAGCCCTGTATAGGGAAGTTTTTGTTTTAATGTTTAATGTCTTACTATGTTTTTATATATGTTGGAAGCCACCCAGAGTGGCTGGGGCAACCCAGTCAGATGGGCAGGGTATAAATAATAAAATCATCGTCATCCTCATCCTCATTATTGAATAGGATGTCTCTATTGTTATCAGAGAAATGTTGGAGGATATGGACCCTGTTATCATCATCATCAGAGGCCCTTCTGGATGTTCCTCCTACACAAGAGGACCAGAGGGAGGCAACACGAGAACAGGGGCTTTTCTGCAGTGACTCCCTGTTTGTGGAATGCTCTCCCCAGGGAAGTTCAGCTGGCGCCTTCATTATACACCATTAGGTGCCAGGCAAAAACATTCCGATTCAACCGGGCTTTGGGCTGCTTAACATCTTCTACCCCTTTTAAATGTGTTTGCAGAAGAGGGGTGGGGTGGAGTTATTGGGTTTTTGGGGGGGGGCTCTTTGTTCTTGTTTTTATTTTATTTTTGTTATTTTAAAAAATCATTTATTGTTATGTTATGAACTTCCCTGAGATTTACGGACGAAGGGCGATATACAAATTCAATAAATAAAGATATAATAAT